TACATTAGTTTGAAAGAGAAGTAAAATTCTATATTTTTCTTGTGTTAGTATGCAACTTTCAGCCACATATGATGCAGGGTTATAAAGCTGTTGGCAATTTGCAGGGGTAAAATCCTTGAAGTTTTAAAGAACTGGCCCGAGAGGAGTATTCAAGTTATTGTTGTAACTGATGGTGAGAGGATTTTGGGACTTGGGGATCTTGGATGCCAGGTATTTCTGCAGGGGAATTGAACTCCTTAATTTACAATGAAAATATAGACACGGTGAAAGTAGATGAGCTAGTCTTATCATAATTAATTATGTTGGTTATGCTTCAGGGAATGGGAATTCCTGTTGGTAAATTGGCTTTGTACACAGCACTAGGAGGAGTTCGTCCTTCAGCAGTAAGCATTTTCCATTTTTATTTCTTCTCATTTTATTAATGGCAATCCTATGATGCATAGATATGAGTACCGTATCTGATATACATCATAATCATTATTAACCACTTTCCATTGTCTACAAATAGGAATAGTGTCAATCTCATTCCTTTCTTGAAATCAGCATCTAAATAGAGGACGATTTCCCTTTTTGGTTCTTCAAGGAACAATGCTTTCATGTTTATATATTATATGCACTTCTATATCTCGTATGTAGTTGTATTTGATTTTCGTGATGTTTTTTTTCAAAGTTTAGATACTTCATAGATACGCATTAGTGAAATATCTATGAATATCAATAGCAAATGAGAGTGTGCTACGTATGCATGTCTCCTTTGAAATTTGCTTTTCTTCCTTCCTTCCTTCCTTTCTTCTTACATTTCATTTCATTTTTTGTGGTTAGTGTTTGCCTATTACTATTGATGTGGGGACAAATAATGAGCAATTACTGAATGATGAATTTTACATTGGGCTAAGACAAAGGAGGGCAACCGGGCAGGTTTGTATAACATTTATACGTCTTGCTCAAAATTATTTTATTATTTAATCATTTTATTGTAACCATTAATAAGTTGTATTGATCTGAGACAACTTTAATGGTTTTTTCTTAGGAATATTATGAACTTCTACATGAGTTCATGACTGCTGTCAAACAAAACTATGGGGAAAAAGTTCTTGTACAGGTCCTTAACAAATTCCATGCATGGTTTATGTGGCTTCTAAACCTATGTTCTTCAACTAGTATATATGATTCTTTCAAATCATTTTTGCAGTTTGAAGACTTTGCAAACCGCAATGCTTTTGAGTTGCTTGCTAAATATGGTACTACTCATCTCGTTTTCAATGATGATATACAGGTACTTTGTCTCACAAAAGCTGGAATATATTTTCTTGAATAATGTTACCATGTTCTAATTGTTCGTGTTATTTTAGGGGACTGCATCTGTTGTTCTAGCTGGAGTTGTAGCAGCCCTGAAGCTCACTGGTGGTACCTTGGCTGAGCACACATTCCTCTTCCTTGGTGCCGGAGAAGTAAGATGATTATTTGTTTTTCCCCATTTTTAACTTGTTTATCAATGCTTCTTTCCATACTGTGGAAGTGAATATAGGAAACCAAAGTAATAAACAAGTATATAGCATTGAGTATTTTAAATCATTCATTTTTTATTATCTATGCTTCATATGCTTTAAATCACTAAATCGGTTTTTCTAACATATTTTTTGTCACGGATTCAGGCAGGAACTGGTATAGCAGAGCTAATAGCTCTTGAGATGTCAAAGCAGGTGAATCAACGATTTATTGTTGATATATCAGTAACACTGGTTTCTTGAGTTCATTTTAAGTTACAATTGGCGATGCTCTATTTATATTTCTATTGTTTCTGGGGCAGACTAAGACACCTATAGAAGAGAGTCGCAAGAAGATATGGCTTGTAGACTCAAAGGTAATGGACAAACATTGTATATATAATATTTTTTTTATTCTTAATTTGATTCAGTTTTCTAAAGCATTTTTTTAATTCTGTTCCAGGGTTTAATTGTTAGTTCCCGGAAGAATTCACTTCAACACTTCAAGAAGCCTTGGGCTCATGAACATGAGACTGTTAGCAGTCTCCTAGAGGCCGTTAAGGTGTTTAATAAGTCTTTTTAATTTTATGGCCTGCATTGCAATAGGTTGCCTTAAATTATGTCTTTATCCTTAATTACCACACACTTTCAGGTGATCAAGCCTACAGTGTTGATTGGATCATCAGGAGTCGGAAGAACATTTACAAAGGAAGTAATTGAGGCTATGGCTTCAAACAATGATGTAAAACCTTATCTCACTCTTGTTGTGGATAAGTATTTGTGTGAATACTTAGATATATGATTTTAAACAAGAATTATATTGTCATGTCTGACTTGCAGAAACCTCTCATTATGGCTCTCTCCAATCCAACGTCACAGTCTGAGTGTACAGCTGAAGAGGCATATCAGTGGAGTGAGGTAAAAACTGACTATCACGTCTTTCTCTAGACCTGATTATCTACTTTATATTCATAGTTTGATTTTTTCAAAAACCAAATTGAACCAAACCGAATTGCTAAATGAGTGTTTTAAAAAGTAGTTTGGTTCACATTTTTTGCTCAAAACAGTTCAGTTTTTTAATCTGGTTCGATTCAGTTTTTTTTTAGCAGACCGAACCATTTTTACACAGTAGTTTGGTTAGTTTTTTTTTTCAAAACATTCAGTTTTATAATTTGGTTTGGTTCGATTGGAATTTTTGGCACACCTTTATTGACGCTCCTGCATACTTTAATACTATTAATTTGTTTGCTTGTTCACAAAAAGGGTCGCGCAATTTTTGCTAGTGGAAGTCCATTTGATCCTATTGAATACAAGGGCAAAGTTTATGCTTCTGGCCAGGTTTTAAAATCTTGTTCAGATTCGTCAAATTGCTCTTCAATTTTCATTGGTTAAAAACAGTATAACATTATATCTGATTCTTTCCTTGTTAATTCAGGCCAACAATGCATACATTTTCCCAGGCTTTGGTTTGGGTTTGGTAATTTCAGGAGCAATTCGAGTACATGACGACATGCTTCTAGCAGCCTGTAAGTGAATATGATAAATTCAGAAATATACATGCAATGAACTTGATGTTGAGTTCCTTTGAAGGAGATGATTGTGACCTATTAATATGTGAATATGTCAGCACCGGAATAATAATAATTACGTGAACGTATCAAGTTTTGATTTCCAACACTTTGTACTTTATTTCAGTTAATTATCGTGATTGGCAATGCTTACACACAAATTACAGTGCTTATAGATAATGCAAAATTGAGAAAGAAATGATAGACATTGTTGTTGTGAATTGTACAGCGGAAGCCTTGGCTAAACAAGTGAGCGAGGAGAACTACAAAAAGGGCTTGATTTACCCACCATTCTCTAATATCAGAAAAATTTCGGCTAATATAGCTGCAAGTGTTGCTGCCAAGGCATATGAACTAGGTGTGTCTTCATTGATCGGATAAATTCTATTCTTCTCTTTTTAAAACTGTTTCAAGAGAAGTTTCCTGAAACTAAACAAGTGTGTTTGTAGGCTTGGCTACTCGTCTTCCTCGTCCTCAGAATCTTGTGAAGAATGCTGAGAGTTGCATGTATACCCCTGTATACCGCAACTACAGGTGAACGCGGCAACAACTCAAACTCATTCTCTCAGCTTTTGGCTCTAACAACCATGTGTTTCTTGTATGCTCTCTTATTGTGCTCTAATGCACATTCAACAATAAAAGGTTTCATGCTATTGATTGAACCAGGACCACTGCTTTTTTCTATTATGAAATCCTCATTTCATTTAATGTCATGCACATCATAATGGTTATCAGAATCCATAATAGTTCTACTCTTTTAACTTGTTTTTCATCGTATCATTTGTCACATTTATAGCTTTCTGTTTTTTTATTTTTTATTTTTTATTTTTTTATTCCTATATCTCTCTTTTTTCCACCTATATGCCTCATTCTTGATGTGTGAGAAAATTGGAATATTTAAGGAACGGACTGAGGTGGGATGAACGTTTCGTTTTCGTGCAAATGAAAAATTAGGGTCGACCATTCAAAGCTAGTTTCAACATTTATTAGTGTAGGTCTGGTTGATTCTAATGATATAACATATATTATTTTCAAGAATTATTAACAGACACTGGCAATTTTTTTTCTTCTAATATTAGTAGCTAAAACATGTTTGAAATATTTTAAAAAGAAGATAGAGATGCAAGAGCATTTCATTTTATTTATTTTTTATTAAGATGAAACATTAGTGTCGACTATATTGACTCTAGTTCTAAAATTTATTAGTTTGAACTGGACAATTTTACAATATATTATATTTGATTTTCAAAAAATATTATTTAGTATCAGTTAGACCAAAACTAACAATTCTACTTTTTTAAACATTAATAGAGTCGGTCATCACAAATTGGAAACAATTTTAAAATATATTAAAATTGATTTTAAAAAAAGCATTTTAGTGACAGTTCAGTATTGGCCGAGGACTCACAATACCAATATTGAGTATTTAGGTGAATGTTAAGTAATCAATGCTAATTTAAGCTTTTCTTGTAATATAACGAGTTATTTTATAATATTTTTTATTCTAAAATTATATTCAACGATACATATTTAGTATTTTGAGAGATAAAAATATATTCAACGATACATATTTAGTATTTTGAGAGATTGAATTATATCGTTAATTAATTTTTAATTAAATATTTATTTTTATATTATGACATCGTAAACAATTTTACACTGAGCACCGATTCAAAATATCCTAAATTTGACTTTTTAAATGATTACACAGAGTATATCAATGTGTTTAATGTATTCAATGCATTTAAATTTAGGATTAAATAATAATATAAAAACTTTAATGTATTCAATGAATTTCAATTAATTTATTTTATATATAAATAATTATAAATTTTTCATTTAATGATAATTAATAATAATTAATTATGTCTTTATATAAAAATAATAATTCAATTTTAATTCAATTTTTATTTATTATATTATTTATTTATTAAATATTATTTTTATTGCTGTTATTCTTAATCATTGTCTAATTCAGGCTCTTCATCATCCTTTTACTGCACCAAATCCTGAAGACATGAATGACCTTGCATCTGCTCGTGCATTGGCTTATGACATGGTTTACAACGGGGTGGAGGTAACACATTCATTTCTGACCACTTTCCTCTCCCTGTAAGCTGTGAGGCTGATGATTTGACCACTGATATCTGTAATAATTAATAACAGTATTAATTTGTGCCTATTTTTTGTCAGATTGGTGGGGGAAGTTTGAGAATTTACAAACGTGATATACAACAAAAGGTTTTGGAGATTGTTGGCATCTCAGTGGAGCAGGTTAGTGGATCATTAATCCGAAATAATAAATAACTGACTCCATTCCTGCGCTTAGTTATTATCTTTTTTATTTATTTTGTACCATTTTATATTAATAAAATGTTTCATGTTTCCAAACAAATTTAAACTAGAATTATGCATGGTTATTGTTTTGCTGTGCCCCATTACTTTTTCTGGCTTCACCGTCCACAATGTTTCCGAATGAATGGATGGTAAATCTGAGTAGTCTGATTATTTTAATTACCATCCTGATAATTAAAAAAGGGTACATATCTTAACGGAAAGAAAACTGAAGACATCTATAAGTGAATGGCTAAAGGGTAGGAATAATACGAGCCTATTAAAATTTTACAAAATGTTTTCCAAAATGAATTATGCATTACGCATTGTAATTTCTTTCAGGCTGAAGCGAAGTTTGGTTATCTTCTTGAAGCGCTTGACATGGGGGCTCCACCACATGGTATGCAGATTTGTTGACGTTCTAAAGTAGTTTATATTTTATAGCCCAAAATCCTCTTTTTACACACTTGCATGCATGATTACAGTTTTACAATTTGATCATTGTATCTTTTTGAACACATCATGAAGCATTGGGCTAGGGTCACCTATTGTTTCTCAATAAGATCAATGATTGTAGATTTTTATTCATAATTCTTGTATATCAAATGTAGGAGGCATAGCTTTTGGATTGGACAGATTAGTTATGCTGTTGGCGGGGGCTAATTCCATCAGGGATGTCATTGCTTTTCCAAAAACAACCACTGCACAGTGTGCCCTCACCAGATCACCATCTGAGGTGGATCCGCAGCAGCTGAAAGATCTGTCAATTAAAACGTAGATATTCAACTTTACTTATCTTTCACTCCACACCCATTTTTGTATTGTGCTAAGGAATAATTTATGTATACAAAGAAGAGGAGTTTTAAGCAATTCAATGATTGGACATAAACCTACTTACTCGTGTTAATCACCACTTAACGAGCAAACAAATTTATAGAGATGGATTATCTGAATTACTAATGGATGTGGTTACAGATTTAATTCTACTGTTCTTATTATTCTGAAGGAGTGAGCAGAGGAACAAGCCCGTGTTGCTGTCTAGATGACTGTATATATATTTGTTGGGAAATTTGTGTGCATAATGCTCGTATATGGATCATCCTTTTACTGCACCAAATCCTGAAGACATGAATGACCTTGCATCTGCTCGTGCATTGGCTTATGACATGGTTTACAACGGGGTGGAGGTAACACATTCATTTCTGACCACTTTCCTCTCCCGTTAAAAATATTTATGTTTACTATGTTTAATGTATATTTTATTATAAATTTTAATTTTATATAATAAAAATATTTGTGGATTACACAAGATAAAATACTAGTATTTGTATATTTAAAAAATTAAAATAGGCATTTTTTCAATAAAAAAATATTTAATTTTAGGGTAAACTCAAATTTTATATATTAAACACGAACTATTATTTAATGTGAAAATATTTTTAGTAATTTTCTCCAACAAGAGAATTTTTTTATATAAATTTTATGTAATTTGATTTTAATTTTTCATAATTAATTATGAACTAAATTTTAATATTTTAAAATAAATTAATAATAAAAAATAATATTATACTATAATAAATATAATTTATATATTTAAATTTTTTAATTATTACACAATTTAATAATTTTATATAAAAATAATAATTTTATCGATTATTGTATTAGAATTTTTTTTTACTCATCTCATATATATAAAATTTTATAATAATCTAAAATTATTTGATACCTAATTCATATAAATTAAAACTTACAATATATATACTTTTTAAAATACATTAAAATATAATTATTGATAATTTATAATTTTAACATCCAAATTAATATAATAAAATTATTATTCGACGACTAGATAAAAAAATTTCAATTTTTATAGAAAATTATTAAATGATATTATAGTTATAAAGTTATATTAATGTAATTTGATCCCTCTATATATATAAAGAAATCAAATGACACTAACATAAATTTTATCATTATTCTAATTAATAACTTTATATTAAATGTGAATTTTTTTAAATTTATTGTTAAATTAAAAAAAATTATCCTAAATTTATATATATATATAATTTTATATTAATTCAATATAAATCAAAATTAACGTAATATATATGTTTATAATATACAAAAATATGAACTATTTGATAACTTACAAATTGTAGTTTAATTCGAACCAAATTTAATTTGACATGAATATACAAGGTGGTATGATATTTCATTTCATTGACTAAAAAATTCACAAAATTTACATTTAATATAAATTTATTGAGTGGTATAATATTTGATAAAAATTATATTTGTGTCATTTGATTTCTCCTCATATACATATTCTCTGAAAATTGATTAAATATCAGATAAATTATGTTTACCATAAAATATATACTTTTTGACTGATAAAATAAAAATATGTCCGTTAATTTTAACCAAAAAAAAAACTATGAAACTAAAATTAATAAAATTGCGTCCGGTTAGTTGTATGGAATTGACGGACCTCATCTAATACAGGTATGGATTATTCTAAGATTAAGGGTATATCTTACTAATTGTTGGATGTGTTATTTTCACAAAGTAAAAGACAATTCATTATGTACAAAGTGCATAATTTAGCAGCTATTTATGTTAACTCGAACAAAATTTTGAGTTCACATGCAGCTAAACAATGAAACATTCTTTTTAAGCTTACAATTAATTACTCTTTTTGAAAAATATTCGAAATTAGATTTTTTTTGCAATTATTAATTATAGAAAATATATAAACTAGATATTTTTTTTGTTTTTCAACAAATTGAAGATGCGTATGTGTTTAGTATTAGTATGATTAAAGTTTAAAAAAGAAAGAAATGCAAGCCAAAATTTTCATAGACCAATTTTACAAAATTGGAAAAATACTAAAACACTTCCCTAATACACATAATAATTAACAATGACAAAGAGTTGAAAATTCAATATTAGAAACGTTGAACCTGTCTAGAGTGTGTATAAATAAAGAAGTGTGGAGATATCATATCATACCCCAAACCTTTACAAAGATCCCCTTTTCTAATCTCTTGTTCTTGTTTTTTTTTTTTTGTTTTTTGGTAATTATTTGTGTGAAGCAGGTGAAGGAATCATGGGTCGTCGTAAGATAGAGATTAAGGAAGTGAAGGATCCGAACACAAAGCAAGTTACATTTTCGAAGCGTCGAACAGGTTTATTTAGAAAAGCAAATGAATTATCCATCTTGTGTGGAATAGAAATTGCTATTATTGTGTTCTCTCCTGGTAACAAGCCTTACTCTTTTGGGCACCCAAGTGTTGATGCTGTGACGGCTAAGTTTCTTCAACAAGAGCCTAAATCAAATAATGAAGTTGGTCATGACATTGACATGGAAACACTCAACAAACAACTATTTGATGTTCAAGCTCAAATCCGTAAGGAACAAAAGAAGGCCGCGAAGCTTGATGCACGCATGAAACAACATAAGGTCACCCAACTCTCTCACCAACAATTGAAAGATTCATTTTCAGAACTTCAATACAATGTGAAGGACTATATTGATGCCATCGAGGTCTCAGAATGTATGATGCTCCTCGCTAAAGAACCCGTAGTTGGCATAAAAAAACAAGTTTCAAAGAAAAAATGAAACAATTCATGCTCACTGCCATCAAAATTATGTTCAGATTTTAATTTCCTTGACCCTAAAATCTTGTTGCCCCTAGCTATCTATGATTTTCTGTTCGTTGAATTTCAAAATGTTACAAGGCACCAAAAATAAACTCTTTAATTATTGTCTCAGATGTTGTTATTATATTTGTGCAGGAATTTGATGTTTTTTAAGTAATGCTTTGGATTTAAATCCGATCCTTTTGAATAAATTCACTTCCTTTAGATTATTTAGGATCTAACATGGTTTTTTGGTACTGAGAGATCGTATTATCCATTTATTTTTAACACGTATTGAATCAGTAGCGGAAGAATGCAGTATTGATTTCGGTCAAAAGTGTATCAAGAAAACCTTTAAAAATAAAATCTATATTTATTAAAGGACTACACTGCTAGAACTTCTCTTATTACATATGACTTTTCCTGTGAATTTTTCACAAAAATTCGTAAGAAATGTTGTTCCTACAAATTTTTCTACGAAATTTTATCTACAAGTAATACCTTTATAGATAATATATTTTTGCAAATTTTAAAATTTGCAAGAAATTTTTCTGCGAAATTTCTTGCGAAAAAAATTCGTAGAAAAGTTTCTTGCAAAAAAAAAATTGCAAGAAAGTTTCCTGCGAATTTTTGCGCAATAAATTCTGTAAGAATATTTTTTACCAAAAAAATTAAAGAAATTACTACAAATTCTATCAATAATTCTTCAACTTTCAAATGCTCACAATGAATTCATTCGAAGCATTTGTTTCTGCATCTCCAACATGTGATACATAATCTTTTAAACTCTAAGATTGTAGATTATAAATCTAACACTCAAACATACAAATCAACTTGTAAGGTAAGTGTTGCTTCAATTTATATACTCTTTAATTGTTTTATTTTCAATCGATGCGAGACTTGAATTTTTTTAAAATACTAAACTTATAAATTTAAATCTATTTTTTTTATTTTTCCTGCAGATTAAAATTGCCAGGAAAATTCGCAGAAAAAGTTACATGCAAAATTTTTCTATAATTTAGTAAACATTACTTGCGAAATTTTTTTATGATCATTAAAATTGTAGCAAAATTTGCAAAAATTTCTTGTAAATTATTTTTCATAAAAAAATTTGTAAGAAATATCTGTAAGTTATTTTTCGTAAATAAATTTGTAAAATTTTTTTGTGAAATTATTATTGTAAGAAAATTCGCAAAAAATTTTTGCGAATATTTTTTTGTAAAAAAATTTGCAAAAAAATGACATTTTTCTAGTAGTGCTAAAAGATGAACCATTAGAGTTAGCTTAATAATCGAGAGAAAATGTTAAAATAAAAATAAGAGAACTTAAATTTTATCATCCGTCACGTCTTTGTAATCTTGTCTATAGATTAAAAAAATTAAAAAAAAAACTTTTTTGTACAATTTGTTTTCTTACTTAAAAGAAGTTCTTCAAATCCTAATATAACTAAACAAGAGTTACTTGTAATATATTTGGGAAAATTATATATTTGTTCACTTGTAATATTCAATTCTTGGTTCCCTAAATTTTAGTGTAGTGATTTTAGTCTTTTAATTTCATAAAATTTATAATTTTGTTTACAATGTGACATTTTTTGTGTGTCTCTAATGGATAATCTTAAAAGGTGCAAACTTAAATCATATAGCATTTTTTTTTTTTGTAACGAAGAAAGATTATATTATCTAAAGTTAGAATAAACCATTAATTTTTAAAAAATTTCTAATAGAATTGATAATTACATTTAATATAATTGTGAATTCTAAGTTTTAGTTTTTACTATGTTACTCCTATTTTTTTTCTTCTTTTTGCATTTTTGGTGTCTATCCATGTACATGTTATTATTAGATAATCTCAAGTCATATCATATTAAATTTAATATGATCGGTCTTTTTGTATGCGAGATATAAGAATCAAACTTATTATCAAAGAGTTTATATGTGATGGATATTATCTGAAATAGAATAATTATAAATTACTATTTAGTATTGATTTAGTGGACACTAACAATTTTTTTTTTAACACTAGTAGTGTCACCGTAACTGACACGAACATTTTTTTTTTCAAACATTAGTAGTGTTAGTTATGGTGAACACATACTATTTTTCTCCTGAAAAATAATTAAAAATTTGATAAAAAAATATTTTAGTGACGATTTAGCATTAACTGATTGATGCAATCTACCGTAGATTTTAGGTTGACGCTAAGTGATTGATGTTAATTTAAGCTTTTCTTGTAGTGATAATGAGTTATTTGATAATTTTTCATTATAAAAATATATTTAATAATACATATTTTATAGAGTTTAAATTTCATATTTTGTCATTGTAAATAATTTTACACTATAAATCAATTAAAAATATCATAAATATAACTTTTAAAATAATTACATAGAGTATCAACAATCTTACTATATATGACAATTTTTTATTAAATAAAAATATTAAAACCTTAATACTTTTAATGTATTTGAATTAACTTCTTTTATATACAAATTAATATATATAATTTTTTCATTAAATGATAATCAATAATAATTAATTTTTTATAAATAAAATAATAATATTTATATATGAGCTGAGATTCGTTGACACTAAGTATAGGTCTAAAAAGTTATATCAAATCTTATATCTTTAACAATTTTTGGTATAATGAAAATTGGTTAAAATATTTTTTTAGTCTCTATAGTTTACTTACTTTATCTTTTAGTTTTTATAGTTTAAAATAATTATTTTTAGTCTTTATACTTATCTTTTTATTTTTTTGTAATCCTTATAGATTAAGATATATAATTTTTTTAATCTATATATTTATAATTTTTTAATCTTTTTAGTCCTTAATCTTGATTGTTAATTTTTTTGTGTAATGTTTTCTCTTTTATATTGACATGACTAAAATATTAATTTAACTATATGTTTGATATCAAATTTATTTTGTTGAAGTTATTCTAAATTAAGTCTCTTGATATTTTGTTTCTCTTTTGTACTCTCAAATTTCATGCTTGTGACACCCTTACTACCCCAACACATATATCGAAATATTATCATTATACTATAACAAAATAAGTTTTTAGTGGTATTTAATATAACTTTTAGTGGTAATAAAAATTGTTACAAAATCTTTTACCGGCATTTCCACATTAGTCGACAATTATTCTGAATGCTGGTAAAAATCTTATAATAGTCGAAAAAAGTGTATAACTTTTTGTGATATTATTAAATCTTATAACACTAAAATATGTATAATTATATGTTAAATAAATTTATATTTACATATATTTTTATTTACAATAATATTTTTTTGTATGTCATTATATATACTATTTTTTGTTAAAAAAATAAGAAAAATAATGATGACTCTCATGTTAATTGACTAAGTTTGTTTGAATACAAATTAGAAATATTTTTGAAAGTTTTCTTTTACTAAAAATAATGAATATTTTCGGTAAAAAAAATTTTAAAAAACATTTTAAAGCTTATATCAAAGCAAGATCATAATTCGAAAAAAAAATCAATTTTTTTTTACATTTTTCTCTCCATAAATAATTTCTAAAATGACAATAAAATATGTCAAAAAAATTCACACACGCTTTCTGAAACTATACAAACAATTATAAGCCGAAAGGGCAACATCATAAATAATTCTCAGCAGTGAATAGTGATATGTTCCTCTATTACTCTATATGCATTGGCCAACTAGAGGTAGCGACAAAGCTATTTTTTGGTTGATAACCTACAACTTATCGAATGTTTCACTTTCACTGTTTGATATTGAGTAGTGACTTCATTTTGAAATTTGTATAGAAAAGGGTAGCATTATTGATTATAATTATCATATTACTATCCACAGTAATAGCAACTAAACAACATTTTGTTTGCAACTTAGTTATGCAAATTATATAAATTATATGTATATACAGTGCGTATAGTTGTTATTTGAAGTACAAACTAGGAATAGTATTAGAAAGTATATATACATGAAATTTGTGAGTATACAGGGATGAGACGAATGTTTATTTTTATATAATTAAACTTTATGATAAATAAGTATTTTTTAAATAAATAATACATATATATATATATATATATAATTTTACATATATAATAAATAATTTAAAATATGATATAAGTTTATTTTTAATTATTTATAATTTACAAAATATTAAAATTAAATTTAGACATAGATGAAAAAGGATAAATTGAAATAATATGTGATTAAGAAGATTAAGTATTAAAAAAGATGATGGTTTAGTTTGAAATGATTGAGAGATATATAATTTTTTTTTAACTATGAAACTAATGTGTCAAATGTAAGTAAAGAAATAAAAAAGAAATAATATTTAAAAATTTTAATTAAATAAAGTATTTTTTGTTGGATTTCAAATCTCAGTTAAAGTTAAACGCTTTAAATAGTATATAAGTTAAAAATATTCACCTATTGAATATCTTAAAATTTTAAATTATATTATAGTAAATTCACTGTGATTTAGAATAGAACACTCTCCACAGTAAAACTGTCGGATCAAGACTTTTAGTATCTAAATGATGCTTTAATGATGATATATGGGTGCATCGGAGTTGGATGGTAGGGTCAAAGTGTTTCTACCAACTGAACAGAGGTTTGAAAAACTACAAATGCCATTAGTCTTACTGTCCACTTAATAATAGAATCGTTCCACTAATTGTGACAGGCACTGGCAGAGAATAGTTTGAGGAGCCTTTTACTACAAATCTATGGGAAATTGATGGTGAAAAAGAAAAAAAAAATCTATAGGGAGAATTACACACATGTACAGCTGGTGGATAAAATGAATATTCTGTTGTTTCTGATGCAAACATATTAAACATATTTTGATATCGAATACGATATGGAATAAAAAAGGTATCTAATTTCAAAACATGTTCCGTGAAAAAATGAACCTTGTCACGATTATTATAAATATAATTATATGTATATATGTATTATTTGTTACATATACATGCATGTATTGTGATGTGTTTTACACAAGATGTACATGTGAAGACGAAGCTGCTAGATATTGTGATCTATCTTTAGTCGGCAGGAGTTAAATTAAACGTTAGTGATTTAAAATTGTGGTCATGTCAATATTATTGGATTATACCTACATCTTATCTTGGTAAAGTTGGACAAATAATTTAAATCATATTAACAATATATTTTTTTTAATATAGAAAGTTATTAGTTGTTGTTACATACGTCAAATGTAATTATAATTCCTGATTAAACGTGGAAAATCACATTCACAAGTGACAAACGTGCAATCAAATGTGTATATTTATTTCAATATTACATAAAGTCACATATAAAAAAGTGTCTTTATAGATAAAATATACATAAGTATAAATTTATTTTTATATATAATTATATATAATTTTAATATTAATTTTAAATAAAATTTAATAACATATAATATGTGTCACTATAATTTATATTTATTTTTTTTATAATATATCAACATATATTATATTTATAATATAAATAAAAATAATTTTTAATAATAAATATTGTATCATTATACTATAACAAAATAAGTTTTTAGTGGTATTTAATATAACTTTTAGTGGTAATAAAAATTGTTACAAAATCTTTTACCGGCATTTCCACATTAGTCGACAATTATTCTGAATGCTGGTAAAAATCTTATAATAGTCGAAAAAAGTGTATAACTTTTTGTGATATTTTTTATTTTTTAGTCGATGTAAGACTTTGTAAGATGAATACAAATACTCTTTAATTACCTTATTTATAGTCGATGTGGAACTTGTAAGATATAAATACTCTTTAATTACCTTATTTCTAGTTGATGTGAGACTTGTAAGATGAATGTTGTCTTTTACTTATATATTCTTTAATTTCTTTATTTTTTTAATTGTCTTATCTCCTATTAAGGTTGATAATGGTGAGTAATCTAATACAACTTAGAATAGTAAGTTATAAGTTTAATTCAACCATACAAAACAAACTTGTAAGGTGAGAGTTATCATCAATTTATATACTCTTTAGTTATTTTATTTCTAGTCGATGTGGGACTTAAGTTTTTCTCAATAAATAATTGTCACTATTAGTAAAGTTTGGTGTGATGTAAATACACTCTTAATGGTCATTATATATTAGTCATTAATACTTGTATTAAATAATAAAATAAAGATAATTAATTTATTTCCGTTATATAATTGTCGGTAATAATAAATTTTGTTGTAGTGTTATAAAACGTGTGACATTGCATATCAATTTTTTTTTAGTATTTGGAAATAGTTTGATTCTTTAAAATTCTATTTATTTTAATATTTTCAAGAAACTAAGAACAAATTATTTCTTTTGAAATAAATCAATGTATTAATTTTTAGATCAGGATTGCGGTTAACATCTCAAATAAAGCACCCAACCAATATGTATTAATTGTTGTTTTTGCTGCTTTATGTTTGAGATGCTTTTATGACATTATTCTTCTTTTAGACGATTTAGATAGGTTAAGTTGGCTTTCGAACAATATGAAATTTCTATATAGGTTCATAATTTTTATTTTAATTAGCCTATATTATGAAGTAGATCCTGTGGTTTTATTTTTTTGCCAACTTGAAACTACCAAAACATTTTTATTTATGTTCATTTAAAAAATCCTAAGAAATCAATTAAAATAATTTACAAGATCAAAGACCTAACTAAAAAACCAATGATGTAATTTTGCTTTGTGTTCTAATTATTGATTATAGACTTTTGAGGCTATAATTAATTTTATGCTTGAAGTTTGTTTTATGTTGCTATTGCTTGAATTTTGTTTTGAAATTTTATGCTTGGAGTTTGTTGTCTCTTGTTATACTTGAATATTGTTATGATTTTTATTTTTCAAAAAAATATTTGAATCACATGAACTAGGAAGGGAAGGAAAAGTGTTGGAGAGAATAATCAACGCTCCCCTTTTTAATTTAGTTGATTTCTAATTAAAGAAAAACTCATATTGTAACATTTTCTTTTGAAGAGAGTGGGTGCGACCTGAGGAAAAACTAGCAAGTTTTCTCCATTCTCAATTCATTAAGCATATTTTTTGGGGAAAAAGTATTGCTTTTGAAAGTAAAAGTCGTATGGATAAGCGTTGTTGTCATGATTGAAGAAAAAAAAGAAAAACGAAATAAAGTAATCAATCTTTTTGGCAATTTTTATTTTGTTGTGAATCAACAAACACAAATTCCTGTATATGCTCGCTAAAATAATTGGTAGAAAATCTATTCCAGTCACTCTAGATAGATTGTATGACAATAGAGAAAATTCTTTTTAAATGAGCATATGTGATCTAGCATGAAAACACATATTGACAACTATTGCGAGAAGAATCTCCATACACCACATGTCTTTTATTTCTCATGAATTGTTTCATCCATGAAGTATATGATCTACCTTTTTGACCAAATATTTGAGACAATGTAAACACTGCAATTTTTTTCATGCACTTGTTCTTTACCTCAATTATATGACCATGTCAATCCAAAAATATTTCATGCTCATTGTTGAGATACTTTTTTCCCCTTACAAAAGTGAAGACACTTCTATCATGGTAATACAAAATAGTCAACATTATATATATATAAAAAACACAGATAGAGATTAAAAGAATTAAAAAATGTAAGTTTAAGAATTAAAAAGATATATTTTAAATTATAGGAACTAAAATATATTAAAAAAGATAAATATAATAACTAAAAATGTATATTTTAAATTATAAGAATTAAAAAATAAAATAATATGGAGAATTAAATTTTTAGAATTACGTATTGTGTCGATAGATCCTCTCTCTATATATGTTTAGAAAACTAAAATAGGTATTTATTCGATGAAAAATCAGTTTAGAAATAAAAGTATTACAAAGGATAAAAAGTAAAAAAATGAGAAATCACATAATAAAATAAAACACGAACTAATCGACAAAAATAGCTTAATTAAATCGTGCGAATCCTCTTTCAATGGAAACCTTAGTTGGAGACTAATCCACTTTTCTATACTTTACAACCATTGATCTGTAATGAGTTACTAATATTTGAAAGACTAAAAGAATATTTAATTTCCATCGTAAAAATAGTATTATATTTTTATACAATCTAGTTTAATATAATATTGGTGTACTGAATTTTTTATAAATCAAATTAAATATGATTTTCAAAACAATTACCACAAATGTCAACCATCTTTATCATAATAATACTAATAATTTATGTTTTGAATGAAAATATAAAAAAAAATACTATTTTTTGTATACTACCAATATATTTAATTAAATAATTTTACAAATACATAATGATGAAATTTTCATTTAATGATAACCAACCGTCATTAAATATGTCTTTGTATAAAAAAATAATTAATAATCTTCTTATCTTTTGAAAACTAAAATAGGTATTCATTCGATGAAAAATCCTAAAAAATTAGTCTTGGTGGGACTGAGTTGGCAAAAAAATAAAATACTTTGTTATATTATTCAAATTAACCTAATTGAATTAGAATGATATTCTTTTAAAAATCCTACTAAATGAGAATGATATTCTAATCTCAGAAATAAATAACAACATACACACAAAAAAAATATGAGTTGTAAAAAAAATAAAATTGAGACGACATTAATTGACAGAACAATAGTTGGTGCTAAGTGAGGCCAAACAATGAAATATTATTTTTAACCATACAACAATTTCTAAAAAATATAGAAATTAATTTTATTTTTTGTTTTTCAACAAATCGATCTAGCTATGAATATATTTATTTAAAGATCATCCCAAATTCCAAAGTTTCGTTGAACGGAAAAACTATCTTACAAAACTTTCTTATTCAACAGAAAAAAAAAAACACGATAATATAAACATACTATATGTGTTTAATATTATTATCATTAAACTAAAAAAAAAAAAAAGAATGAAATGCCAGCAAAATTTTTCATAGGACCAATTTTTAAAAATTGGAAACACACTAAAACAGTTCCCATATATACTTTATTAACAAAAAGAAAAAGTTGAAAATTCTGTTGAAAGAGCGTGTATAAATAAAGAAGTGTAGAGATATCATATCATACCCTCAAAGATTCCCTCTTTCTAATCTATTGTTCTTGTTTTAGTTTTAGTTTTTGTTTTTTTTAGTAATTATTTGTGTGAAACAGGTGAAGGAATCATGGGTCGTCGCAAGATCGAGATTGCAGAAGTGAAGGATCCGAACACAAAGCAAGTTACATTTTCGAAGCGTAGAAAGGGTTTATTCAAAAAAGCAAATGAATTATCCATCTTGTGCGGAGTAGAAGTTGCTATTGTTGTGTTCTCTCCAGGGAACAAACCTTACTCTTTTGGGCACCCTAGTGTTGATGCTGTTGCGGCCAAATTTCTTGAACCAAATGATGTCCAAGGCAATGGTTCACCCAATATTAATGAAGTTGGTGACATGGAAATGCTGAACCAACAACTATCTAATGTTGAAGCCCAAATACTTGAGCAACAAAAGAAGGCTACGAAGCTTGGTGAAAGATTGAGAAAACATGAAGTCAAACAACTCTCTAAGCCCAGAGAATCGCAGGATTCATTTTCACAGCTTCAGCACAACACAAAGGACTATTTTGATGCAATTGAGGTTTCAGAGTGTTTGATGCTCCTTGCACAACAACCGGTTGTCGGAATAAAGAAACGGGTTTCAAAGAAAAGAAGAAAGAACTGATGCTCAATAGTCAATACCATCACCCCAAAACCTTTGTTGCCCCCATTTATCTTCGCTAAAGTCTCTTGTTTCAGAAAAATAATGTTTTGTTGCCTCAATTTCTAAATATTACAAGGATCCAAAAATAAACTCTTTAATTATCGTCTCAAATGCTATTATATTTTTGCAGGAATTTTGATTGTTTTTAGTAATGTTCTTGGATTTAAATCCCATCCTTTTGAATAAATTCACTTGTTCAGATGATTTAATTAGGATCTAACATTATCTTTTTGGTACTGATCATAAGAGATCGTATTGAATGAGTGAGCAGTGGAAGAATTTAGTTTTCGTTTCGATCAAATAGAGAATCAAGAAAATCCTTAAAAATAAAATCTATACTTGTTAAGGCATATTAGTAAATTTTTGGTGTGATTTTCTTTTCTTTCTTCTAATAAAGAAGTTCTGTTATACAAATCCTGAGATAGCAAAATAAGAATTAGTTTGTACTATATTATTTCTATTTTTTTTCATTTTTTTTTCTATCCAGGTACATGTATATACTGGATAATGTCCCAACTCATGTCACATAACATTTAATATAATCGTTAATTCCAAGTTTTAGTTTTTATTATTTTACTGCTACTTTTTTTGTTGTTGCACTTTTTGTGTTTCAGATACATGTCAATGTTGAATAATCTTAATAGGTGCCAACTCATACCAGCATATCACATTACCCTTCTAAAAGAAAAACACTCTTATCAACATTACAACATTACATTTAATATAATTGTTAATTTCTTTCTCTGACCTCTATTATAATTTTTTTTAATATAAGTAAATTTTAACTAAACTTTTCGGTTGTAGTATTTCTTTTAACATTTATAATAAAAATTATTTAAAAAATGTTATGAAATCAATAAAATTTAATATAAATAACTATTTTTTTTAACGTGTATAAAATTTTTATTTTTATAATAAAGAATAAAGGAAATATAAATTTTTAATTTTTTTATTACATCACTTTTTTTATTATCGAGATACATGTATATATTGGATAATCTAAAAGGGTTGAATTCATATCACATTACATTTAATAAAATTGTTAATTCTATATTTTAGAAATAGAAGTTAATTAGTAATTCCATCGTTAATTATAAAGTCTTTTCAATTAAACTACACTTTTAAAGAAAAGAAAAAATTATATTGACATCCCTTAAAATTTGTTTTAATCAGACAAATCACTCTTTTAGTTTTTGAAAAACAAAAATCTCCCTTAATATTAATTCTATTTAACTTCTTAAATTATAAATAAAACTAAAACATTATTCGGGTAGAAAATAACAAATATTTAATGTGTATGACTTTTCTCATTCATTCATTAATTGGTCTCTCTTCACTATTATCTTTTTTTTTTATATCTCTATTTAAGCAATTTTTTTAGGTTATCTTTTCTTTTTTGGTGGTTTTAATATATATATTTTAGGAAGAAACATACTATTGGGGGCAGACTCACATCCTTAATTAATATAATTGAAATTATTTAAATTTTTTGAACTTAATTGTGGGTAATTAATATTATTGATAGGATTTTTAGATGAGAATAATTAAGGCTAAAAGCTTAATTTGATCCCTCATAATAATTAAAAATTTTAATTTGGTCTCAATTATTTCAATTTAGTCCTCGATAATTTAAAAACACATCAATGTGAGACTTCCGTCCAAATTCCACAAACGCTGTTAAATGTGGACGACATGGATGCCACGTAGATGCATAGGTGGCAAGGTTTCCTCCTCCTTCTTTAATGCATCTAGAACGACCCATTCTGAAATCGTAACGGCTCGTTCTGATTACACTCGTCGTGTGTTAATTCGTCGTGTGTTAATTTTGCATCTGAAACGGTCCATTCTTAAACCATCTGGAACGGCCCATTCCTAAACCATCTAGAACGGCTCATTCCAGATGCAAAATTAACACATGAAATACATATGGGACACTTGCCACGTGGAAAATTATCAAATTTTTGTTTTTTTCCACGTGAAAAATGCCCAAATGACGTTAAAGAAATTTGAACGGAAGTTCGACATTGCAGTAATTTAAATTATTAGGAACCAAATTAAAACCAAAAATTAAAATGAGACTTAAAACTTTAAAATATTATAAGGGACTAAATTAGGTTTTTAGCCAATAATTAATTACTAACTCATCCGTAAATGACATTTCTTTTTATATTTGTACTATATGTCACAATAGAATGAAGCTAAGAGAAGAATTGCATACTAATGGCCTTGTGCACTTTTTTCAACTAGAAAAAAGTTCAAATAGTAAAATAGAACGAGTTTTAACATGTAAATGAACTAACATTATAAAAAAGGTTATATGTGAAAGCTAAATTATAAAATAAGAGATGTGAGTGTCAACTAATAAAATAGAAGGAGGTTGGTGTCATTTTAACAAACCTCAAGGAAGATTATAGCAATTTTCCCTAAAGAAAATTAGCTGATTTAGTTTAAAGCATTAAATTTGTCAATAATTTAAACTATTTTACTAAATTTAACATTCTTTCTTTTTACTTAATCATTTTCACCTAATTAATTAATGTTTGAAAAAGAGATATCTATGTGTCTATTTATCTTCTCTATTCTTATTAAGAAAGAGTTTTTATTCAATTAATTTTAAGCATGTACTATCTTTTGTCTAAAAGAATTGTTAATTGGATAAGAGTATTTTAGAAAAAATATATATATAATTAATGCAACTAAAAATTAGAAGGATGTTTTATTAAAAAGGAGAAGAAAAATATGAAAAATAAAATCTTATATATATAGTAATAAAATTTAAGTAACAAAACTTTTTAATTATATATTCTTTTACACGCTCCTTATAACATTTCTACTAGTTAATATTTATTTAAAAATTATATAAATGAGAAAAATTCATTAAATAATGAAGTTAATTAAATTCATAAAAAAATTGTAATTTATAATAAATTTCTAATTAATAGTAAAACGTTAAATGTGTTTATTTTTTTAATAAAACTAATAAAAAGATATAACGTTCTTACAACTATGTTCTCTTTCCTCAACATTAAAATGATATTGTCTATTTTAAGATTAAAATGTTATAGATTTACTTTTGAATGAAAACCTTATAAACTTATGTTCATCCTCTTATTCTAACGATATGAGACTTTGTTTACGTCACAACAAATACCATGGACCTACTTCCTAAAGAGTGGTAATCTGGATTTGTCTATCTCACTATTAGCCCGTAAGAAACAAGATGAGTGAGCTGACCCGTTTCCTAAAAGTGAGTTGGAAATTTTTGTCAACCCCATTAAGGGGCACATTGGTCCACCCAAACTAAAAAACAAAAAAAAAACACAATTTTTTATTTTTATCATTAATTCAAATTGACAATTTTTTTTTACAGTTGACAAATTTATTTAAATGATAATATCATAAATTTTTCATTTATCTTCAAGATTTCAACACAAGGTAATAAATTACAAATTATTAAAAATCTTTATTTTTTTAATCAATAATCTTTCAAGAACACAAAATTACAAGTCTTTAGCAATCCAACACAAATACTATTAGTCATTCAATAATAAAATAATATTATAACTCAAAGTGATACACACCATAAATTATAAAATAAATAAAAAATAACATTTAACAATTAAATAGATACTAAAATATTTCTGTCACTTAATATATTTGACACTAATTCTTGTTTTATTATTTTAGTAAAAAAAAATAATACAATTTTAGTTATTATATTAAATAATTTTCTCATACATATAGCTTGTCACTTGAAAAATTTATTTTCAAATGTTATAAATAATTCATATTTTTTCATTTTAAAGTTCAGTTAAGTAACTTATAATTTTATAAAAATATATTTTTAAATATTGTAACATATATTTAGAGAGAAATATATCTTTTAATAACTTATAATTTTATAAAATACATTTTATGTTATATGTCAATTTTATATATTTATACTATGTATTTGAAAAAAATATATTTACAAATATTTGCGATTTGGAGTAATTTCTTATTCAATTCCAAATTTGAACCAAATCACGTGATTTTGGAAATTTAAAAAGTAAACCAAATTGTTAATTTATGATTTTTTATTCGCTTTTGATTTTTTGAATTGGATTGTGACTTTTTGTTTAGGTCGGTCTTTATATATAAAAAATTATTATATGTAGTTTTAGAAAACAAAAATAGGTACTTATTCCATGAAGAAAAAAAATAGTACAAAACACAGTCTAGTTCCATTGGTTCGAAATAAAATATTCTGTTATATAATTAAAAAAAACTTAATTTGATTATGTTATTTTGTTTTTAAGAAAAAAAACTTTTCAAAAGGGGTATTACACTTGAGATCTGAGTAGAGGTGACAATGAACTGAACTAACTCAAAAATAGATTGAAACTTAATTCAATAGTTAACTTGTTAAATTTCTTTCACAAATCAAATGAGTTAAACTTAAGCTAAAATTGAGGTCGCGATAAATAAATAAGTTAAACTTGAATTACATATAGTTCATCTTGTTTAGTTCCTAAATTGGCTTGATATATAAATATATAATTTATTTAATTAATTTTTTATTTAATTTTATCTTTTAAAATTTTTAAAAAAATTCAAAACTTAGATATAAATTAAGAAAAATAAAAGAAGTGAATATTTTAAAATTTCATGATTATAAATTTAGTTTTCTATTATTTTATGTAAGGTTTATTTATATAAATTTTAGTTGTAATTATATTTTTTGGAATCATGTCTTGTAACCTTACAAAACTAAAATAAGTTATGTTTTATCTTTAAAAAAAAGTTAAACAATCATTTTATCTAAAATCTATTATTAAATTGAAATTTTTTTAAATGTATAAGATTAAAATAAAAAATTGAGTCTTAATTTATATAATTTAAACTATCGAACTGCTAGTAAATTTAAATCAAGTTGAGTTTGAACTAGAAAAAAAGTCTATGTCAAATTCATATTAAATTATAAATTAAATTAAATATTATCTAGTTAAATCAAGCTAAACCAAACTCAATTCAACTTGACTCATTTTCGGTACATTGAAACACTATTCAATTTATAATTAAGCTAGAAGGGTGTTGCACAAACAAGTCATGTGATATGTTTGATTTATAATTAAGCTCAGAAATCAGAATCCCTTATTGTTAGATTATATCTTCACATACTA